AAAGAACTTTACGTAGGAGGGTGGTGTGTGTGTGTGTGTGTGTGTGTGTGTGTGTGTGTGTGTGTGTTTAAATGGAAAAAGTTTCTATGTTCAAGAGGGTTTGTTTATTTGTTTCTAAATTTCTCACATTAACTGGCAAGCAAGCAGCCGAAAGGCGGCCAAGATGAGAGCAAACTGAAGAAAAGATACAAAATAATGGTATTCTTGACATTTATACTCCAGATGACTCCAAATTGCTTGTCAAATCTCACAAATGCAGTACAAACTGTTATGGAGCCATTGGTCATGACTCCATAGTTAAGGCTGCATTGCAAAACAGTGTTAAAGTGGAGACTTATTCCATTGATTTATTAGCAAAGAAAAATATTTCCTTTCCAAACTCACATCATTTAGTAAGAGGATCCAGATTTAATTTCTGTGAAGGTTTTTAAGTGATTCCGTGAAATAGATTAAAAGCCAGAAACATTTTAAATGACTCATTTGGAAATTTTTGCTTTTTTATTGGAATGTTTCTTTGAGTCCCTCATTGCTGAAAACTTTGAAACTTGAGACTTACCACGTATGTAGATATTGATCACTTCTCCAGTCAGGGAGATGTGCTGAATTTCAGATGTACACAGTGAAGTATTAACCTACATTTTTGCCTTTACTTTTATTTATGCCAAGCCATTTGACAAACCCATTTTGCCCACAATTTATAGATTAATAGATTTTAAGGTCAGAAGGGACCATTATGACCATCTTCTAGTCTGACCCCTTGCATAACACAAGCCAGAGAATTTCACCCGGTAATTCCTGCATCAAGCCCATATCTTGTGGATGAGCTACAGTATATTTTTTATAAAGACATCCAGTCTTGTATTCCAGTGTCCTACCCTGTATGCTCTGAATCAGGCCCAAAGATATTTTACTGTGCATGGGGAAGGCATTTGCTCCAGTGAAGCTAACATAGAATGCATTTCACCAGCACTGTAGCCAGGATTTACAGGGTCCAGGACAAAGGGTCAAAGCAGGACCCTTCTGTAGTCAAGCCCCTTGTAGGGGCTCCAAAGCTCCCAGACCCACTGATTGCTCCTGGGATGTCTGAATCACCATTGCCTCACTTCTCCCTTAATTTCAATGGAGCTAGCATTGCACCCTTAGTTTTTAATGTCCCTCTTACTCAATCAGGCATCCACACTCAAGCAGTTGTTCCCTCACGCTGACAGGAATTCCCAGAGAAATGAGCACATGGTGACAGAGTGCTGGGCAACAGCAGTTGATCCAGCACTCTGATCACTGTGACTTCAATCAGTGGCCCCGTATACCTGAATATGGGAACTCTGCTAAATTGGTAGATTGAAGATAGCTTTTAACTCTCCCCAGCCTAATTACCTCAGTGACTCAGAAGGTGCAAAGGCACAGGAAGGAAGTGCCAAGTGGGGAGAGAGAAAGCGGAAGAGCTGTAGGCTGGAAGAGCCACGGACACAGGATGTCTCCCTTGCAGGGCTCAGGAGCCATAGAGCCCCAGGATACTGTTCTAGCTGCTGCCACCAGGGCCGGCTCCAGGCACCAGCCAAGCAAGCTGGTGCTTGGGGCGGCAGCTTGTAGGAGGCGGCATTCCGCCCAATCCTAGGGCGGCACCGATGCTTTTGTGTGTGTGTGTGTGTGTGTGTGTTCCGCTCCGGCCGCCCTATTGGGGGCAGCGGCGCGGAGGACGGGAGCGCGCTGCAGCAAGCTCAGCAGGGCAGTCCTCGTCCTTCCCTCCCAGCCGACCGGAGCAGCACGAAGCCCTCCCGGCAGGCGGCGCGGGGGTAGGAGCTGCGTGGCTGCGCCCCGCTGAAGCCCTGGCCGCCCCCTTCTCTCTCTCCCTCCACTCCTTCCCCCTCCCCCCCCCTGCACCCTGGCTCCGGCCACGCCGCAGGTTGTGTTTTTTTTTTTTTCACTTTGCCGGGTTTTTTTTGCCGCCCATGGGTTTGTTTGTTTTTTTTTTCGCTTGGGGCGGCAAAAAAGCCAGAGCCGGCCCTGGCTGCCACGATGTGTAAAGGTGGTGGGTGGGAATGAACTCTGTAAATCAATCACTGGGTCTTTTGCCTGAAGAAGGTCTCCAAACAGTTTAAGTTATCTGTGACTGCAAATAAAGATGATTTTGAGGATATTGTCTATATAGGAACTATTAGTAGACCAGACCTAAGAGGAAATTCTCCCGTCATCTTCTTTTCACTAGAGGAGGCCCCAAAAGTGCTTTTGTAATGTTACACTTGATCTACTTCTTGGCTGGTAAGAAGTATGTTTAGCATTTAAATATGCATTCCTCCTGCCACCTCCTCCATAAGTAATAAACATTCACATGTGACAGTATTTACTTAATGAAAATCTGTCGTCAGCTTACTTTAACATTTACATTAACATTAACATTAATTGCATTAACATTTACAATCCCAAACAAAAAGGAGGGGAGAATTTTCACCATAACAAATTGTGCTAACATGGAGCTAAGTCAATTACTAATTGAAAGGAATGTTAAAAACATAAAAAAATTACAGGCAAACCTGCTTCACAAACTTGAGAAATCACTTCTTTCACACAACATTTCATCCAAGAGTTATATACTTGCATAGAAGTATAAATAAGAATTCAACCTTAATTCTGA